TTGCAGTTGCTGGATCAATCACTCCATCTAGTGCCAGTCACAGTCAAAAGTAATGCACAAGCTGCTGGACAATCTCTCTGCCATCATAACATGAGTGTATTTTGACCTTGGCATTGTACCTAATAATCAAGTCAAGGATCGTTAAGGACGAGTGAAGAGGACGAGACGTGAAAGAAAACAAGCACACACACATTGCAGCTGTTAAAGAGAGCGCTTTGCCACTGCACTTCATCTGCGTCCCTCTAATTACACCACTAGGAATAGATCCACAGATCCACCGAAGCGCCAACCGCCACACCAAGAACTGGCGGCCACTGGTCCGCCCTCTGTAGAGCCGCCAACACACACAAGCCACTGGGGTTTCTTACATAACTCTTCCCAGCCAAAACTTCTGGGCTTTCCAGGCTCCGTTTGAGTCATATCATTGTTTCCTGCTAAGTCTATCTTTCTTGTTTCTGCCATGTTGAGCTTGACCACTGTGAAGGGAGCCTCAGTAGGGCCAGGAAGGTAGTTCAGTAAAAGCCGCTTCCCTGAACTCTTTGGAAAGAGTTCACTTAGACCCAGACCAATGAACCCGTCACTCAGGATTTGGGCTCTGATCAAATCAAGAGGCCTCTCATTATGGGACACTCCACAGCAGGCAGCAGAAAGGAAAATGAATAAAAGAATAAACAATGATAAAAGTAGAACAGCAATCACAACAGTGGAAAACAGGAGTTTCAAGTTATGCTTGTGTGAAGATTCCTCCTAAACTCATTACACACCCTTGCTGCAATGAAAAATGGGAGGAAATCTAGATTTTTTGGCTACACTCCTGGTGCTGTTTTCAGTTGTAATTTAAACATTTATTAGCCCTTTAGATTTGGCTCACAGTAAATGAGTCAGAAAGATTAAAAGTGTGTTTGGAATTTGAAAGTTGATGGTGCCCTGTGGAAAGGGTCACTGGGGATTCTGTTGGCTGCCTCACTCTGCATTTACAAGTACACTGAACAACGTGTACTGTGCTGTGCTATGTTGAGGAAGCACTTTTGTAGAAACCTAGCTTGGATGTTAAAGGAAAACTAGAACTACCTCCCCATGGTTGTATGCCTCCACCAACCAGTCAAGTTGCAGTTTACACCCATGTCTGTCCAGCCTCATACATGTAGTGATATCGGAAGAAACTGAACAAAAGGTACATAGTGTATTTTACATCTAATGGAAGTTATCACTATATTGATTATATATATTTATATATAATTCCAGTGAATATACACTGTGGACTGAAGATACACTGATTAATGAAGGATTATAACAGATGTACGTAGGGTCACCCACTAATCAGAAGGTTGGCAGTTCGATCTCAGGCTCTCTGCATATCAAAAGTGTACTTGGGCAAGATACTGAACCCCAAAATGCTAGGTGAATGTGACATGTAGTGTAAAGCACTTTGAGTCGTCAGAAGGCTAAAAAGGTGCTATGCAAGTACACTCCATTGAATATTTACCATGTATTGGTTAATCAGGAACTTGCTTACTAAAATATGGATTCTTATAGAGTCAAGCTACACAAAACGTGGTGCTTTTGATTTCTCCTGGCATTTTTAGCTGTAGGTGACACTCATTCACTCACTCACTCGATCACTATTGGCTAGGCGTGCTCCAATATGTTGCTTGCCGTCACGTGATTCAGATGATAATCAAAATTCAGAATAAGGCAGGAAGTGAAAGGCAGAAAGAATGAGATGGAGGAAAGCCCGTACTGTGCTAATTATTGTTTACATACTGTGGGGTCCCAGTCAACGTCTGTGTGAAATCTAGAATTGCCCGATTCTAAAAGTAACCAACTTCAGTTATGACAAAATCATTTTTTTAAAAGGTCACAGTAACCTTGACCTTTGATCACCAAATCAGTTGATCCTTTGAGCCAAATTTGAAGAAATTCCTTCAAGCTGTTCTCAAATCAATGTTCACTTTTAGTGAACTTTTCGCCTTCTCTTTCAGTGAATAAATGTAGATTAGATATCATGTCTACTTCCTACTGAAAGGAGTAGTACTGTTAAAGATAAAAATATGTCTTATTCATTAAGCAAGTTTGTGTTAAGGTTGTGTTTTGTATGTGATTTTTGGTAAGGCTAGTGTGGGAGTAGGTGGAGACTCAACAACCGTCTGTCTTTGTTTGCAATATTATCCAGTTCCTGCTCAGACAGAGCTGCTGAGTTTAGTCATAAGTCTAGGTAAGTGAAGGATTCTTGGGGCTTGGAGGTCACGGGGTTAGAGCCATCTCTCAGCAGCTCCTTTATTAACTGCACATGCACACACAACACACACAGAATAAAATACATAAACACACACTTACACACACCATAGGAGGAACAGGAACATACCCAAGCTGACACTTTGCACAAACAGACTGATGAGGTAGCCTGTTCACACTTACAAAGCATCTACTGTCCACTTCTTTTTGGGGTAGAGATCAGCAATGCTAACAAAGTGGGAAATTAGATGCCAGAGTAAAATAATATGTGGAGAAGGGAGTATAAGATACGTACACTGATTCATGCAGCATCAAAAGTAAAACCCTTTTATTTTTTCTTCCCCCAGTTGTCTCAATGGCCTTGTTGCCACTTGAGTGGCAGCATGTCTATTGACCGACAAGGCACAGAACCCTGCCGAACAGAAACTCTGGTGGAAATGTTGTGAAAGAGGAAAACCTACAAAACAACCAATTCCTTGCAATCGACTAGAGCCTGACACATATTGGTTTTTGGGGACCGATGCAGATATTAAAGTGAAAAAGAGCATCTTCGTAAGCCAATATTTAGATTTCAAAATGATTTGGATAGCATATGCCTTTGCTGCATAAACTACACTGATATGAAAAGCTGTTAAGTACATGGGCATATAATACCTTTTCCTGAATGGATTATGTTAATAAAATAGATTACAGTATCAATAACTGAACATGTAAACAACTGAACATCAATAAATATTTGCTGCTGGAATATGCATTGTTTTCAAAAATCTATAAACAGAAAGAATAAGCATGTGTATTTTACTTTACACATAATCGGCCATAATGACCACTTGTAGCATATTCACATCTACTTTATCTCTTTACCAGCACTCTTTAAATTCTATCCAAAGCTATGAGAAACTACTTCTCAACCACTATTTGTCTAAATTTAAAACATGCCGTCTATGATACTGCTGTTGAACGCATCTAATACTACACAACTGTCTACAACCTGCAACTTTGAGATTTCACACTAAGGTTTCACATTTGAAAGAGGAGCTAGATAACTTTGTAGACTAAAGCAATGTGCAGCGTAAGCTGCTGTAAGTGATGTTAGAGAATATTTAGAAGCGATGAAGTAGGGAGGAATGAGAGGACCGTTAGCTAGAACTGCTGAACTGTTTCAGAAATAAATCTACAATCAAGTTTGTCAGCAGCGTAACTCAACTACTGTAACATTAAACATAGCCTACTGCGGTTTAGGAGAAAACCAGGAGAGGGTAGTGAAAAACGGGACAGCAAATATGGTCACGAATGGTGTGGAGAAGTGATGAGCGCCAGGGCTGCAGCTAACGATGATTTCAGTAATCGAGTATTCTAGAGGTTATTTCATTGATTCCTTGAGTAATCTTATAAGAAGTAGCTACTTTAGCTTTGGGCGCGCCCCCTCCCCGCTGTACCAGGTCAGCTGTGTAATGACTGTGACGATGCCACCGAAGGTTGTTGAAAGTTACTAGCACACTGCTCATAAAACATTTTTCTCAATGCACGTAGGCTTATTTGTTTTAGGGGCACATGCAAGACCCCAATGTGGGCGGAGATAATGAGCAGACTGTAGCGCACACAGAAGAGAGCGTCACTTTCTTTGTTTTATTAAATCGCACAGTTTTTGTCGATATGTAATTGTACATGACAACATCACGATTGCAGTTTGATTAATCCTGGAGCCCTAGTCCCAGTAAATTAGTACTGGGAAATGCTGAGATTTTGTAGAAAACAATGCTTTTGTCTAGCTGACCCTAAAACTTGTTAAGGCTGAGATGAAGCTAAGCCTGAAAACAACCTGACTGACACAAGATTCTTCTGGAGGGATCCGTTTCCATTATAACTTAAGTCCAACATACTACCAGCAGCGACAATGTAATAAAACTGTATGTCAAAACTAAAATATGTTAAAAGATGACCCAGGTTGGGAAGGTTAGGAATACTGAATAAATGTGGCACAGTTCACCTGCTTCACCAAACACAAACACCATTTATCAAACAAAACTTCATGAAATAAGCCTTTACTAAAGCATGTTTAGCCTAGCATTGTCATACCTAAAAATATGCCAATATCTTTTCATCCAACTTCAAAAATGCCCATTTACAGTGTTTTTATTTTTATAGGTTTGTTCAATGATTGTTAAGGCCTTTGTCATTATAAATAGTTATCCAATGCAAGAAAAAGAGACTTATGATCCTTAGTCATAGCCTTCCATAACTCTTCTTGTTAATTAACCACACATGGTTATATAGATTTTTTAACCCAAATTAATAGACTTTTTATACTGATTAGGGTTGGGTATGGATTAACACTGTAGGCTTCTTTCAGTCTCTCTTTAAACCAAGGTGACCAGGATCTTTACAAAGAAAATCGATCAAATTTAGAATTTTAGGACTAGGGTGTGTGTGTGTGTGCGCGCGTGTGTGTGTGTGTGTGTATTTGCATGTGTTGCCGTGTCTTGAGGTTGGTGTAAAGGCATGTGTTGGGGAAACTGTGGCTAAACCCATCTGCATTGTGTACAATATGAATACAAACACTATGATGGTCCAGCTCTGTCTAAGAGACAAGATGAGGTGGCCACATGTGAGCCAAAAACCCACCATGTTACACTTGAATGGAAGTGCAGCTCTTTCCTTCTTTCTATGTCTTCCGAACTTTTATACAGTACTCCAGAGCTCCTTCCTCAAAAAAAAATGTGTGTGCGTGCATAAGTGAATGTAAGTGTGCGAGTGTGTCTTACCACTGGGGTTGAATTGCATGCAGGATATGGGTTTGTCATGGGCTGGGAAGTGAGCCACCACTCCCTCTCCGTCCGAGTCCTCACTCACCAAAACCTGGAGTATATATACACACGCACACACGCACACACCACCACACACACACACAAAGAAATTCATTTTCTAACAATGAGAACATTGAACTCACATCGGGACTTTCCCCTGCTCAAGGATTTCTCTTCACATTTTGGTTTGGTCTGATATCATCACCACACTCAGCAGTGTTCTTTGACATCACCCCACAGTGAAATATCTTGAAGTTAAAACTCATTTCAGAATGTGCCATTGCCCTCTTGTGGATAGCAAATAATTAGCATATTACCTGATAAGAAAGAAACAAAGAAACTTTAACTTTTCTTTAAAATCTCTCTCATTATAGTGCATCAAAGAAATCATTATCATAAAATCTGAGCTATATTCTATTAGTGCTAGTGCTTCAGTAAGTAGCTGTACTGAGACCAATGTGGATAGTATATGGTCCAACAACAGAGACAACAATATAGACAAATTTACTTAATGGCAATAATGTGGCTTCTCACATGTGGCTTTGAAAATACCCTATGACAGTGGGTTTTCCCGTAAACAGGCAGAAACTGGCATCACATCTAGCTATAGCCTGTACTTCTGAAACTTGCCTAAGAAAATGAAATTATAAGTCACTTTGCACAACTAGAGGCTGCTCTTAAATCTCTGTATGAAGTATGTTACCAAGACTGGGGCGAATCTGACAAAGCTGAACAGAGACCAGGAGCTGGCAGAAAAGCCCTTTAGTCACAAAGAGAGACTAAGCCCAGACATGAGGCCACTTTGTGCACAAGTATATATGTGTGTGCGACAGAGAGAGAACATATACACAGGGTTAAAGGCCCCAGTGTTGCATTAACGATGTCAGGAAGGCTCGCTGAGCATTTTAAAAAGGAACTAGTCCAAACAAGAAACAGCCTCTAAAAACTAAGGGCTTCGTCTCAGACTACAAGCAAAAAAATAAGCAGGAAAAGAAAAGAAAAAAAGGGGGGAGAACAGAAAGAAAGAGGCTGGTGACATGAAGCAGATCACTTTTATTATGGTGCAGGCAGACAATGTTGTTCTGTGAGGGAATCCTGCTGGAGCCCTTTGAAACAAGGGTGTCCTCCAGAGAACCAAGCCCGTTACACAGGGGAGAGTGTGTGTGCCTGCAGTTCTAAATAAGGAATTTCAAAGGCTGGAAGATATGGGAATATCCTGCACTGCCCCACTGACATAGGAACTCACCTCTATCATATTCCTGCCTTTTCCCCATTTTTCTAAAAAATCACCCCCCCGACCCTCCCAAACCTCCCTTCGCCATCCATTAATCCTCCACTCCTAGCTCTCCCCTCCCTGCCTGCCTGACCGAGTCAGTGTTTATGACCAGTGTACGGTTACAGTGTGTCGACTGGTGACAGAGTGCAGGCCTGCTTCTGAAGGCTTAGGTCCAGCTTATAAGACAACACACTTGCTACAGCGCAGCTAGAGTCATGGTGTAGGAGAGAAGGAGAAGGCAGTGAGTGTTTGTGTGGTGACTACATCACTGATAAACTGTACTATGTATGCTAACACGCCTCATTAAAAATGTGACAGCTACTGCCGTGTGATTAATCATGGTCTGGAATGGCTGAGAAATTAAGGGGATAAAAGCTTTTAGCATTTCTTTAGAGATTAAGCGGAGATCCTGTTGAGGGCCACTGACATGGTTCAAACCATAACAGGGTTAGACCCAGATATTGGGTATGTATTTTTTTCTGTATCCATGTATATGCACCTGGGTGGGCTTGTGTAGAATAATGTGGTTAAAAAAGTATACCACTATTTTATTTTATTTTTTGGCATTTAATTATTATTCTTTAACATTTTGATGGCTGCTTGCCTTTTGATAATTACCGTTCCACATCAATAATTACCAGCTATAAATACATGTATGATTGTCCTCATGTATTATCCTAGCAGCCTGAGAGTAGAAGCTCTTCCTGAACCTCAGTACTAACCTGAAATATACGGTACCAATTCTCCTAGCCTTATTCTTGCAGCGCCTGGTGTAAATATTGTTTAGGCAGGGCAGAGCACCTCCTACAGTATGTTCAGCTGAACAAACCACTCTTTACCAGGGCCTTGTGGTCCTGTTCGGCACTGTTTCTGTACCAGGCAGTGATGTTCCCTATCAGGACACTCCTGATGGTGCAAGGGTAGAAATTCCTCAGAATCTGATGGGATACCCGGAATTTCTTCAAGCAGTGAAACAGTCTCTGCCCTACCTTTTTCACCACTGAGTCAGTATGCAGCACTCAAGTCAGGTCCTCGGTGAAGTGGACACAAAAGTACTTGAATCTGTCCACCCCTTCCACCAAAGAACAGTTGATATTTAAGGGGACATAGTCCCTTCCCTGCTTCTATCCCAAGTCTACTATCAGCTCCTTAGTCTTGCTGACATTCAGGAGAAGTTTGTTATCCTGACAACAACAGGTCAGGTCCTCTACTTCCCTCAGATAGGTCTTTTCACTGTTATGTGTGATCAGGCCTGCCACAGCTGTGTCGTCAGCAAACTTGATGGTTGTGTTGGAGTTGAAAATGGCTATACAGTCGTATGCGTACAGGGAGTATAGCAGGGGGCTCAAAACGCAGCCCTGGGGTGCTCTACTGTCAAGGATGAGGATGGAAGAGGTGTGTCCTCCCACCCACACCACCTGTGGTCTGCCCGTCAGGAAGTCAAAAATCCACATACACAGTTGGATGTTTAATCCCAGGTCCTTCAGCTTTGTGACAAGCCTGGAAGGAACTATGGTGTTAAATGCTATTAGTAGTGATAGCCAATGAACAGCAATGTAAAATAGGTTTCTTTTCTTGTCCGGATCAGATAAGGTGGTGTGGAGAGTGTGTGCTATGGCAACTTGCATTGATTGGTTGGGACGGTAGGCAAACTGTAGCGGGTACAGTGTGCTGGGTAGTGAGGAGCATATGTAGTCCTGAACCAGCCGTTCAAAGCACTTCATCACTATAGAAATGAGTACCACTGAGTGTTAGTCATTTATGCAGGCTGGTTTCTTGGGCACAGGAATGAAACTGGACTTCTTGAGGCAAGCAGGTACAACAGACTAAGCCAGGGACAAGTTGACTATAATTGTGAACACCGCCACTGGTTGGTCAGCACGCAGTTTGAGGACCCAGCCACTATAACATCTGGTCTTGCTGCTTTCTGTTATGGCAGAAAATTGTGTCCTCTTACATTTAATCTTTTATGTATGTTCTTTTACTATCATTATTATGTATTGTGTTTTTATCCTTAACCTTTCCTCTCCTATACTCCTTATGTTAGTCTGTCCACATTTACTAGGGTTTAGGTCAGAGCTGTGAGATTGTTTTGGTGTTCCTCTCTTGTTGTTCCTCTCCTTTCATGGAATGCTCATTCAAAGCCCAGAGAGGATCTCTGTTGCCCAAAACATAGAAACCTAGACTGTCTAAATGATAATGCATCCCTTTGCTCGGGGCCAGACACCCAATGACGCCCTAGGCGGCAGGTCTTTGGACCAGCTGTATATGTTTTAGTACTTCTCTGTTTATTCTCTTTTGTTAAATAAATTCTTCAAAGACAACGGTTGGTTGTTACTCAATTCTTTGCTCAACCCCTCACCAGGAATATCATTTCCACTACACTTTCTTGGTGTGCCCATGCTTGAAAGCCCTCCTGACGTCATGTCCAGAAAGGGTGACAGGTGTGAAGGGTGCATCCACCCACCCATTAACCTGTGCTTCATCTGTTTTTGCTTGTTGGCTCATTTGCTAGAGATGCATCAGCTCTTGACAAGGCTCTTGTTTGTGTGTGTGCAGGAGTGGGGGTTCTATTTCTTCCACTTTCTTCCCATAGTCCCTTTTTGCCTTATTTACTGCTCTTACATTGTAGACTGCTGTTTAATAACTGTCCATGTTTCCAGACTTCAGCCCTGAGCCACAGGTTGCAGTTCGTATCTTTATGGCATTCCGGATAGGTCTGTTAATCCATTGTTTCTAAATGTGAACTGATTTAACTGTAGGTTTCAGTACAGTTGCTTTTGTAGTTTTACAAATGAAATCCACCACAGACTCACTGAATCCATTGATGTCATCTGTGTCATCGATGGCGGTGACCTGGGACATGGCTCCACATTAAGCCCTGTCGTGCAGACTGTATGGCAGCCTCTGATTGGCCTGACCATTTCAAGACCTCACGCGTCGCTAGTGCGTTGTAGTTTGTTTACACACTTCGACCTCAGCAGGTAGCCATTTTTGAATGGCGTGTAGCAGTAATCCAGTGTGTTTATTCCCCTTGTGTTGCAGTGAGCCAAGTTTCAGTGAAACAAAAGGACATTGGACATCCCATTGGAAACAGATGCGGGTACGGAGTTCTTCCAGTTTATAATCCTAACGCTTGTACACTGGCTTAAAGGATGCTTGGCAGAGAAGAGCCATGTGGCTGGGATTGTTGGTGTTTAATCCCTCCATGCTTACCTCTGTTTCCCTTCTGATGATAAAATGGATGCAGAGATGGCCTTTCTTGTCGATGTAGTTGGGTCGGTCATGTCTATGTACAGGTGCAACAAGCATGGATCAAAGGGAAAGTAATGTTGCTACCTGCTCCTTTGTTAACGAGTAAGAGAATGATTCTGGTATTGTTGAATAATCTGGTCTTAAAAAAGTAAGCTCTAAAACAACCCACTACAATCTGTAAGCAGTGTAAGAGGGCAACAGGATCAAATGTCTCCATCTCTAGTAAAAGGCACTAAGTTCAGATGGGAGGAGAGCCAATTATAACATGAGGAGAGTGCGAAAGCTAATTTCAAGTCCAAATAACCAAACTGATAGACAGACATTGCGCCTGAGTGTTTTTTGTTGCTGCATATAATATTAGCTTCGTTCAGGATTTTCTCTCATTATTATGAATGGGGTGGCTGTGGCTCCTCTTATCCACATGTCAAAGTGTCCTTCTGCGTAACACTGAAGCCTAAATTGCTCCCAATGGTTGGCCAGCACTCTGCGTGGTAGCTCACTTCCATTGGTGAGTGGGTATGTGCGTGAATGTGTGCATGAGCAGCAAAATCCTTGTATAGTACTTTGAGCTGTATAAATGTAGCCATTTACCATTTATATCATTTCTGTAATAACATGTTTTTTCTGCAATTTCGCCTATCCCTACCAACAACTTACAATAAATATGAAAAACATAATAGAAAAATATATATGACTTGAAACTAACTTTTGGCTCACCTCCCAAACCACCCATAAAATGGCAAAACTGAATGTTAAGACCTTATTTGACATATGGTGCACTCGTTTAACCTTGAGTTTTATGTGAGGTTACAGGCGAACAGCTGACTGTTTACAGAGCGTTTCTCCTACCAGGGCTTCTAAAACAGACAGGGCTGTGGCTAAAAGCTTGGCTGTTAAAATATGCAGCAAACCTAAGTCACACCTTTCAGCAAGTTGTGCAGAGTGAGGTGAATGGGACTGAGTGTGTCTAAACCACAGGGGGAAAAAAGCCAACCTGGGAGATTTTCCTGTTTCCCACGAAGCCGCAGAGGCCAAAGTTATGTTTACCTGGGTCGTACATGACAAGACCAGAGAAGCAAAATGCCAAGAACAAATTGGTGCCAATTTAATCTTCGGTGTGTGTGTGCATTATGTATATAAAAGGGCCCAGTTGGGGGGAAAGGTAAGAATTTAGAGATCTAGCCGGTAAAGCTGACTTTCTATTAAACAATGAAGGTCACCAGTCACCAACAGTTTCTGGTTAACCACCATGCAGGATCCAAAAGGGGAACACTGAATGAGCTCCGACCAGTGTTAACCGGAGGGTTTGTCAGTATGCGGGAAGGGAGGCTGTCAAGTTTACAAGAACCTAACCAGTTTTAAACTACAATTCAGTAGTCTGGGTGAAACCAGAGACGGCTAGGCCTTACGCATCACTGTAGGGGAGATGATGATGCCAGAACCACCCGACATCTTCCATGCCTATCTTCCAAGTACTGCCTCTGCCTACAGCTAAGTTGGTAGAAGAACATGTTATGACCCTCGAACCCCCAGAGTATGACCTACATTCTCTGTGACAATGAAATGAAAAGACCTCATTAACACCTCATTTGGACTGCTGTAACTTCTCAAGTTAATGACCTAAATCTGGTTGACATTTATTTACTTTGGTGTAATACTGCATATATTTTCTTTCTCAATACAGAGACAACATTTTGCATTAAAATTGTTGCTCTTTTCCTAACTCCTTAAATTCTGCTTTACATATTTCCTTGTTTTCCTGACATATTGATTTAAGGCCAAGCATAAGTGAAAAGGTACAAAATTGTTCAACTTGGATGAAGACTTTGTCAATTAGGGGTGGTGATGGTGCAGTGCATAAGACATGCCTTTGGTGTGAGAAATCCTGGACAAATGTGTCCCTGAGCAAGACACTTAACCCCTAGTTCAGGGGTAGTCAATCAGAATTCAAAGAGGTCCAGTTAGAGAAAATTTCCCAAAGCAAAGGTCCAGAACATCAAAACGACTAACTTGCGTTATCATTCAGTACCATAACATATAGTTGTATCAACATTTGTTTGTAGTCAAATTAAATAATACTTCAAGAATATAACTAATATATCCTGTCAGTTTTGACATCAAACTGGACGAATAATAAATAATAACCACTCTAAATAATATATTCTAAATTTCAGTAAACTAAAATAAAGCGCCTAATTTTTTTGAAAAAATGAAATAAAAAGTGATGAAGTTTAGTCTTAACCAATTTTATAATAAACACTCAACACAGCTGTAACGCCTCCTCTTCTCATTCATTCCCTCTTATAAACCTACTGTCTCTTGCTCAGTGAGAAACGTGAGCTCTAGTTTGTCCTGCCAGCTAGCACTGGAGACCTTGAGATATTCTGGTGTTGAACTGCCCGTGGGAGGAACGTAGGCCTACATGTAAAAATCTGTACATTCTTGATTAAAAGCCATGTGAAATGTCTTTTCCCTTTCGTCTCCTCAATTCGTGTGCGTTTCCAAAACGTCTCTGGTGAATCTCGCGGACTCAACTCGCAAGCATCGGAATGCGCAAGTTTGATAGGCTGAGCAGCGTCACATGAGACGATTGGAGCACATGCGATTTGTCAGTGAGTTTCCTGGGCCAGAAACCCTGGGCCACTAAACTAGTACAGTAAATGCTACAAAGGCTGCACGGGGTAAAATAGAAACGCTCCGTCACGAGGTTGTAATTCTGAATAATAAATCGGCTGTAGGTCGGCGGTCTGGAGAGACTGCAAACCTCTGACATATATAGCAATATTAAGGTTTGGATAAAAGCGTCAGCTAAATGTAATGTAATTAATGGCAGGTGTAATTTGCAACAGTTTCTAGCAAATAAAAGCAGACAATGGAAAGAATTTGAAAAGAAAGGGCAAGGATGTGAACTCAATAAAAAGTATTTCATCCATAAGCTAAAAGCCAAACACATTTACAGACTTACAAACAAAACTATAGACCAATATGTTATTACTTCACATTTCCAGTGTGTGCTGTAAAATTTTATATTTCATTTTGAAAGTAAAAGATGGGAAACAATTTTGCCCTTATCTGCTCCCCACATCCTACCAATGACACCCACAATCAATCAAGTATTACAAGAAATATCCAAATAATCCAAATCAAGTATTACAGAAATGAAAACATAGAGTGGTTTGTACACATTTACTGCAAAAAGTCATTTAAATGTGTGTATATAGCTGTGTTGTGTGTAGTACTGATATTATATGAATTGTTGTATCATGACTGACTGTTGCCATGTAAAATTGCATGACTTTTTATGACTCCTGATACTGAGGGGCCTTCATCCTTTCTTAATGTCCAAAAAGGTGAACAATGTGGTGTCAATGACAATTTAAAAAAGCCAGAATTATAAAATCATTAACAGCACCAAAAAAACTGTAGAAAAACTTGACTGACCTGTCCTTCGCCAACACTGTGTGTGTCAATGATGGTGACCACACCAGGGTTGTGAGGGCTACGACGGCTCGCACTGTGAGGTGCGCCCTCCTCGTCCGGAGTGCCTGCGGGTAGAGTGCCTGCCAACTGGGTGACAACTTTACCCACCATTGTCAGGCCTGTCTTTAAAGTCTAGAAGAACAAAGAAAAAATATTTCTGGCAAAAATCCATCATATATTATACATTCCCAAGTAATCTATTCTGAAAGTAAGTGATTTATTGTACTTTGTAGTTTACTAAATTTGAAGTCTTTGCATCTTCAATGAAGATGAAGAGAAGAGCTGCCAAGTGCATGTGTGTGTGCACCATGTTCAGTTGATGCCTGCTGATAACTTGTAGTGCTGATGACTTGTAGCACTGTAGCCACAAGAGACACCCGTGTGTGCATGTGTATGTGTGTGTGAGGCTCCTCTGTGTCCGCTTAAGGCCCAGCCAGGGTGTCTGGCTCAAACACACCTCTGTGGCTCGATTGAGGGAAATGGATAGTGCTGCTTAAGTGGAGTCTATCTCACCTACTACACTGTCTTTGCCTAATGGAGTCCAGTGCATGTGACTGTGTGTGTGTAAGCGCCAAAGGGGCCCCGGAGAGCCTAATCAGGCATTCAGACGAGGCGGCCCTGTCAATACAGCGTGGCGCCTTGCGTTTGTTGGGTCTGAGGATCACCCACTGTCTCTCTTTGCCACTTGGCCAGGCACACTAACAGAGTCTGCTGCCTACAGTATGTGTGAGTGTGTCCGCCTACATTTGTGTGTGCGTGTGTGCGCGCGTAAAGAGTCATCAATTATTAAGTGAGGCGTTTGGCGCCTAATTGATCAACACTAATGTGTTTTCTAATCACTGCAGTTGTGGAGTTCTTAGTGGTAGTCCAAACAGGGCCTATTGATCTGCCGGTGGGGAGGGGGGTCTGAAAGATCATGTCTGATGGCTGACAAAAACACATGAACACTCAGAGGTACGACCTAATGTCGCTATCTAAACAATTTACTGCCTAATTTCTGTGAAAGGTCTTAATCATACACCCAGTGATAGGCAACAGGATTAACGTGATACACCAAGTTACCGTAAGAGAGCAAATTTGGAACAGGGACCAGTTGGTCAGCGCTATTACACTCTTATCTTTCTTATAAACAAAAGCCATTACACTTTAATGCTATTCCCCCCCCTTTTTTGTTTCCATGTCTCTGGACGTCAGCACTAAGAGCCAGCGTGTCGCGCCACAAGCCAGAAGGAGATACCTTGTCATCCAAATTGAGATATATGGTCTTAAATGAGGAGAGGGCGGGCAAGCAGACTGCCTGTCTGCATATCAATACCCACCCCCACGCCACCATTGTACACCCCTTACCATGCCGCTAACCTGTTAGCGACACACTGCTCTTTTTGATGTATACCTCAATTAGCCTGCTAATGAGACTTTTCTCACACTAGCTGTTAGCACTCAAAGTGGGAAGGGATACACTTGCTCTTTGTACAGCAATTATCCCTTCCTCTGGGACCGAATGGAGACACAGACTAGAACCAGATGAGGAACTAGCTAGTTAGCATGTGTTGGCAAGCAGCTAAATCAGACGAGGAATGAATTTCCCTTGGTATCAAAGGGGGCTGTTGGCTGTTACTGAACCATCTTAGAGTCACTCCCCTGTGGAGATGAGTGAAACAAGACCATTGGAGAGAAACAGATTATAGTGGGGAAAAAACAGATACAGTAGGCAGGTTGATGAAGTGTCTCATAAGCTCAGCCCTAGTCAGCCAGGCGGGCCAGGTGGGTCCAATGTCAGCACATTTGCAGATGCTGTAGGCAGAGCTGGAAATACTATATTATGTGCTGTTTTATCTGAGCAAAGCCTTCAGACAAACCAAAAGGTCATTTTTGGCAGATTGTGGCTACAATCTGAACTCCAACTATTAAGATTAAAGCAAACAAATTTGGAGTCAGTCCTTCTGTAGTGAGACATGATAAAGGATAAGTTTCAACGATGATGGAAAACTACTAATAACAGGCTGAAGGTTATTTAAAAAAAAATTGTGTCTGCATCATATTTAAGGCTGTGCTGAATAAAATCTCAGCATGTTTCCACAAATTTGATATCCAGTAAAAAAACAAAACTGTTTTGAAAGTAGATAATAATAATAAGGGCCCTGCGATGGACTGGCGACCTGTCCAGGGTGTACCCCGCCTTTCGCCCAATGTCAGCTGGGATAGGCTCCAGCCCCCCGCGACCCTGTACACAGGATGAGCGGTTGAAGATGGATGGATGGATAATAACAATAAGTTAAGGAATTTGTTGTGTTTGCTGCAGTTTACAGTGAACAAGGGGGTCCTTTGAAGGAGAACACAACTCTATATATGCTTTTACTAACAGAAAGTAGGGGTGTAAGGACTTGGTTTGGGATGAGATTTTCTTCAGTTAAGTAAATAGAAGAAGTAAATCATTTTGGGAAAATGTCTTAATAAATTCTCAATTTCACCCAGAAAGCTTTGGCAGAGGGTCAGATGTTGTCTTGTCTTGTTAGCTAAATCATTCTAGTTGCTTAGCCCCTGGATGTATAGCTCATACGGAGAGTGAGAAAACAGAGTTGCAAATGCTTCCCATGTCACTTAGACCTATCATTCATAAGCATTCTGATTTCCCCGTAAGATACAGTGACACTGGACTGGAGAGTGGTGGATCTGACAAAAACTGTGTGCTGCAGTCATCCAGGAATTATCCAGTGCCACGCCAGTTTCTCTAACCGCTGATAAATAGACAGAGAGCTACTTGACTGTCTAAAACTTGAAAATAAAGCAAGTGAGAAAAAGTATAAGCATTAAAAACACAAATAAATACTCAAAATGCTGAGCTCTATCTGTGGAACGACACAAAATAAATATAATGTCCTTACTTTGGCAGCACTGATCACTGTAGCTGTATAGGACTGTGAATTGTCACCACAAGCTCCTCCACGTGACTGGTGACATCTGATCAACTGCAAAAACACAAAGATTTACAGATAACTATAAATGGACAGAAGATGCATATAAGAAAAAAAATTGGTGATTTTAAACTGGATTTCAGACATACAAAAGCCTCCCCCCCTCATTCTATGGAGGAAATTGGTTTTGCTTTCAAAGAAACATTACTGTACCAAACAGCCAATCTGCACTGATTTCATTTCAAATTGAATTTCACCTGAATGGCTCTGTCCCAGTTTTACTCTTACGGTTTAAAAAAAAAAAGAAAAAAAAGAAAAAAGATTTTGTCATTTCAGAAAATCCTTAGGCAGTCACACAAACAGTGGCCCCATCTGTCAATTACTTGAGTGGGCCAGCACCAAAACACTATTGTGCATTAAATGTACTGCAAAGTGCACAACAGAACATTCTGGTTTTTGTAAATACTTAACAATCCCATTAAACAGAACAGAATAGAAAACTCATGTGCATCTGTTGATATTCAAAATGTTATCATCTCTCACAGACTCTTCTTGGAATGAGTAGTTTATCCTGACGGATTAAAGAGGTAGAAAATAGATAAAATGCATTTTTTGGATTGTAAATATGTCATTTTTCTGATAAGGCACTTCTGCAATAGATGAGTGTGTGTGTGTCTGTTTGTGTAAGTGTGTTTGTGTATGCGTGTGTGTGCGTGTGCATGTGTGTGTGTGAGTGTGTGTGTGTGTGAGTGTGTGTGAGAGTGTGTGTGTGTGAGTGTGTGTGAGAGTGTGTGTGTGTGTGTGTGTGTGTGTGAGAGTGTGTGTGTGTGTGCATGTGTGTGAGAGTGTGTCTGTGCATGTGTCTGTGTATAGACTACCTTGTTCTCAGCGTAGGCCAGCCAGCGGCTTCCAAGAGCTATTGGATTGAGGCTGGGGCCAGGACAGGGATAGCAGCCTGAAAAGACACAAAGATGGTCTTACTAACAAGGGTACCAAACATACTTACTTACTTATTAAAAAAAAGGGGCATACACATTTTGGTAAATAAAATCATAATCAAAAGTTTGCAAAAAAACAAAAACAGGAACACATATGCAGGGATTTCCATAAGCCTCCTCCCTGAAGAGTGTCTGTAACTATCTTAAACCATTAATGTGTTTGTGGGGAGTCTCTTGTTTGGGAAGATAAATGGGAGTCTAATGAGGGTGACGTGGTTTTATGCTTGTGTGTGTGCGTGTGTGTGTGCGCAGTATGACCTAATGGAGATTGTGGTACCCAATAAATTGAGGATGGCTCCTCTGCTGATTGACCAGCACAATAATCCCTGTGGGGACACGCACAACAAACACACAACCGGTGTGCTGTCAGCGGAAATAAAAATAGCAACCAATAGTCCTAAATGACAAATAAAGCTTTGCCTTCACAAACAGATAAATGTCTTGGACATTAGAAGAATGTATTTTTCTCTTCCCACTCAAACAGATGTGGAAGTAAACAAGGACGTGGATTGCTGTGACTAACGCCAACACTGAGCTCCATCTACAGGGGCGTCAATCACTTCTGCTGCAAGACAGAATCAACCAAAAACAGACAAACATGTGCTTGTAAACAGACTGGAGAGAGAATTGATTTTGTAATAAGCGTTTAATGCAAATGTAAATAAATGTTGTCATGCAAATGTGTAAATGCAAGCAGATATAGACACTGACATCTGCCTGTTTCCAGTCTGTATAAACATACAATAATGATCACACCCGCCTGTGTTGGAGGACACGGGCACTGGTCTCACACATACACACACACACACATACACACACACACATACACACACACACACACACAGAGATACTGTAAGTGCGAGGAGGTGTAGGGGGGGAAATGGCTGACAATAATTTAGTGCTCAGGGAGCAGATGAGGTGGAGACAGTAATTTAGTGTGCTGTGTAGGGGAAGTGGCTGGTGGGGTGGGGGGGGTTGAGGTAACTCCAGAGAAGCCATTTGTGCCTCTCCAAGGCCGAAGGGAGACCAGGCGGTGAGATAACATGTGTTTGACATCCTGGGTGGAGAGCAGGGGGCTGAGCGGGGACAGCAAACAGACATGATGGGTGGAATCAAAGGAAAAGAAAGCAAGTTCAAGCTTTTCAAGGCCAAACTTTTGTGAGCGTGACAATAGCTGATCCTAAAAGTCTGATATTCCATTTTTAGCAGCGCATTTTTGCGACTGTACCTAAAGTTTCCTTGCGTTAGAAACAAAATATAATATCGACTGTACAGGCCTGGCACTCCACCAAGCCAACAATGTTTCCCACCAGGCCAACAAAATTACTTATTTTAAGTCAAGATGCATATAAACAACATGAAAAAACAGCCATGTGTCACTGCAGAGCAAGCCAAGCCAAGCTCACACAGTCAGAGGAAAATCTGCAATAAATAGAGAGTAAATAAACAGATTTGAGAGGAATAATGACTACAAAATGTGAATAAAACAGAGCAGATCTGCACAAGCAAATGTGATCAGCAGGCATGCAAGTCAAATTTGTACAAGCGAAACGATCTGTATGCATGAACACAGCTTTGCAAGCAGCTCTGTTGATGTGCAGGTCTAAAGGTCGAGCACATCGGAACGATCGCTGCGTTGTCTGTTCATTACACTAAATGGTTTTGGCCCAAGGCAGTTTTAGTCCACTTTCATGATTCAGATAAAGAAAAAAATCTAATTAACTGAGAAACTAAGAGGTCTCAAATCATCCAGTTCCAAATGCAGGGCCACTGTATTGGTGAAGGAAAAGGTTGGATTATTTTTATCAACCAACAAGCCCCAGGGCCAGACATGGAACTTGCTTTGCACAAGTTGAGTTTACTGAGAGTGTAATTACTCAAACCATACCATACACCTGTGTGAGCCAGCATCCAACTCCCAGCAGCAGGCCCAGGTTATGGTCACACCAGCACCAGCCTCTGCAAATATTTGTGTAGAATCCTATTCTATTCAGTTCTATTCAATTCAAGCCAGTACAATGTATATTGTGTTATTCTTGTTTTGGGCCATCATTCTCTTTAGTAAAACTAAAAGGGTGAAAAGTAGTAGTGACAAGTTCAAAGAAATGACAACAATCACTGTTGTTAATATTACATGGCATAAATTTACCAGCAGACACCTTTTTACTGTATGAAAACACAGTAGGTACCAAACCATGATCATTGTGAATGGCTCGACTCAGAAAAGCCAGATAAGACTGTGGAAGATGGTGGTGACTGAGGCTGAGCTAACAACACACACCACTTGAATGTAAAGCAAGAATATAAGCATGGGGCGAGCATTAAGTGCTCCAAGAAACATGACTTGTCCACCATCATGTCCCTGGAGAAGAAACGGACATACAATCGCAGAATGGCTCATCCAAAGCGGAGCCGCGCACATTACAGGGCCCTCTGTTTACTGCTTTTACGGCCCAAACAGACCAAACAACGTTATGAAGAGGAGGCCCATGCATTCAGAAACGATTAATAACTATTGAGCATGTTTGGTTTCCTGTGGCCCAGACACTGATAGGGAAGGCAGGCAGACAAAGAGGAGACACATTAAAGCCAACCAGTAAGGTCAGTTTACTCCAGTCAATGACTTAAGTGGACAGCAATGGCCTTGTAATACAGTCTGGCCTTTCCTTCACAGCCTCCTTGAGCAGACATGGCAGGTACAGCCAGGGGGATGCAAGAGTGGTGTTGTAAACAGTTTCCCTGTGTTGAGTTTCAAATGGAGGGCCTCACATCATGTTTTGATAAAAGCAGTTTAGTCACAATGCAAAGTTTGAGAGAACAGCACTACAGCAGGCCTCGGTGGCTGGGCGTATTATAACCAAGGACCTGCAGTTAGTTTGGCTTGTGTAATGCCAGTGTGACAGACTCACTGATCATGTTTGGCAGTGTTGATGTGTTGGTTTAGAACATTGGGGTTTGATCCAACATTTTACAAATATATGTTTCCGTTGGGAATGAAATAATAACATTTCATGACAATCTAGATAAAAGCTTAATAAAAATTGATCTTCTTCTTCTGCAAACTAACAAAACATCCTTCCTTTTCCAGCAAGGAACGAGACAGCAGGTCAGAAACCCCCTGAAAGATGTAAAATGCCACTAAAAATAGGTTCCTGAACACAAAAGAAGCCATTCAAAAACAGGTATCATACTGCAACAAAAATGACTGTATACATGTTCAACATGTTTCAGCAGTGATTAGCGAGAAAATGTCTATATATAATGACAGAAAAACAGTCGTTTAAGTCATGTGTTCTTTGAGTTTCTTACTTGTAACAAAGAACTTCTTAGTGAAGGTGCAGCTGTCAAATGCTGCAATCTTCTCTTGCAGGCTCACAGCAAGAATACTTAAAGGGGGAGAAAATAGAACATTAATGAAAAGAAAATAAACACACAATATATCATAAAAAAGTCTTTAGTTGTTTTTTTAAAGCAGCTGATCCAAAAGACATACTGTTTGTTGCAGTGGAGATCATAGATGGGCGTCTTGAACTGAATTGATTTGACCATTTCTCCTGTCCGCAGAGAATACAGGTCAGCGCAACAGTAGGGCGGGCTTGTCCTGCAAAGAGAAAAAACAAATGCATTTACTCGGTCTGGTCTCTGAATACGTCATGTAGTCCTCAAGTACTACTGATACTTCTTCATTTACATTTTCTGATACACATAACTAAAGCAGTAGAAATGACTTAATAATAAAATATTCACCACCAAATAAAATGTTGCTGTGCTTTTACCAAGAACAGGCAATATAACAACCCGTTTTAAATTAACACTATTGCTTCACATCTTAAAAATTCATTCAATGCATTCAACCACCCAATACAGCTGTTTACACCAGCAGTGTAAAAGCTCACGCATAACTGTGACCCAACTATTCACATGCTTTCTAAAAGGCATAGAACTCCCAGCACCACCAGGTTGATTTCTAATTGTACAAGTCTGTTTTTATATAGGGGGCATGTCCAGATCTGAGTGCTTGTGATGAGGTCTTGTATTTGTGGAGAAAATCACACATTTTTCAGACTCTGTGACTAGACTGTGGCCAGAATCATTTCATAGCGCAATTAAGTAACTGTACATATACTCAATGGCTCAAAAAACATCAATACACTGCACCATCAAGCCACCTTTTGCTCATAGAACATCGTTTCTCTCAGCAGCTCCCTGGAGAATTCATATATTATTTGTTTCTACCATATCCCACTGCCTTAACCCCTTCTGAGGGTCCACATAGTGAAAGGGAGTGAAAAGAAGGGCAAAGGGGGAAATGCTTTGTCATGCAACACATTTACAAGAAGCCTTTCTATCAACACAGCAAAGAAGAGGGTTACATGAGAGAGCCTATCCAACAGCAGGCGGCAGCGGAAATTTTAGAAATAAATCTTAATCAAGCAAGACCCTTGCCCCCACCGCAACCCCCCGTCCCCTGTGCACTTTCCCTCTCTCTGCGAGGAAAGCTTCTACTGGTGCTCTATTCTGTGTCACCCTTGGCGAGGCCTATGGTGCCACGTTGGCTGAGGACGCAGGGGTGAAATGTGGTGTTAGTTTTTTTTCCTTGAGCCATAGGACTTTGTGCTTTCAACAGTCTATTTAATCTGCTTTTGCATAGAGTGTGCAGTTATAAATCAGTCTCAGCGTGGACAGTTTTTGGACAAACAGGACAAATTGGCAAGATCTTAAAACTGTAAGGAAGGTCAAAGTTTGCTAAATCGTGGCTGTAAACACAAGGGTTTAAAAGTAAACTGACATTGTAAAAGAACACAAAACACCGGCACGCCAGCAGTGATTATATTTAGATTGTGAAGTTAGGTTAGAAAGGAAGGTTAGACTGATTTGACGACTTGATCAATCTCACTTTCTGCAGACTAGAGCCAGCGCAAGACACGATTAGGAAATAACAAGTTTAAACAGCAGACTGCTGTTGCCAAGTCACCCATGGAAATCTGGACATTATTCAAATGACATGCTCGTAATGGGACGACTTTCAACCATTACAAGACACAGATGACCTCAGTCATGTTGAATATTCCTGCAGCACACCATATTTCACTGACCAACTCTACTGTGTCAAGATCTGTCTGCCGTCTCAATCACTACAGTTGCTCAGTTTCTTCTTTACGGTGGGGAGAGATCTGCTTCTCCCATTCAAAACTCTGATACAAGCACACACTTGGTGAAGTACCAAAGGAAAACAGTGGAGAAAATTAGCCATTTTAGAATATATATATATTTATATATATATATATATGTATAATCGAGAAGCGAAGATATTTTAGAATGACCACAAAAAAGTCAAGATCCTGTAAGATACAGTAAGGAAAGAGGAAAAGTGTGATACCTCTGTAGTGTGAGTCACAGCCAGCGAAGGATTTTAGATTGCTGTAAAGATTAGTTCAAAATTGCATATGTCAAAACAAGATGAAGAATCTTTGGCCAAGCTAGCAGCACTGTGATGCTTTACTTTATCAGGGGACCACCAATGTCTTTAGGATCCATCCTTTGGGGAACATGAATATCTGTACAAAATGTCATGGCAATTCATCCAATAGTCGTTAAGACATTTCAGTGCAGATCGAAGCAGTTGACCAGCCGACATTGCCATTACTAGAGCCATGCCGCTAGCATGGCTAAAAACTAAGGGCTGCTTTTGTGTGGGCGTAATACAGTAGATGATAAGATAAGATGTTCCTTTATTGATCCACAGTGGACCTTCAAACTGGCACAGCATCACAGATGAATGTAAAAAGAAAGAACAAAATACAAAAAGTAGAATAGGTATGTAAAATATATACAGCATCAGTATGTAAAATATAGACACTCTATACACTTTATACAATCACAATAGAATGTGTCAGCAGATGTGAGTGTTGAGAGCTGTGGCATTGTGGAGGTGGGATGTACTGGGTGCTGTAGCGTTGTGCACTCGGATGGCAGATGGCACAAATGAGCCACCAAGTGCTTTGAGGCATGGGGATGGATAAGTCTGAAAGTGCTCTTGAGCTGCCACAGCTCAACATACAGGGGGTAAGAGGGGTTGTCCTGCTTTCAGTTTCCCTTTCATCCTTCTCTCGGTCACTGCCTCTACACTGTCCAGTTTCATCCCCACCACAGAGCAGGCCTTCTTCATCAGCTTGCTCAGTTTGCCCCCCGACCCCAGTCCCAATACCACCTCCCCAGAAAAGAAGATCACACTGTAGCAGCCTGGGACATACATTGAAAAACCTGGGGTGGAGGGTCTCATGCCGCATGGGTCCACCCCAAGCTCCTTGTTTTTTTTTGGTGTTAAGCAAGAGATAAAGTGAGTAGCTGAAATACCAAACACTGAGTGCAGTTTAAATTTTACATCCATGCATTGGAAGGCTTATCAGATATGTATAGGGTCTTGCCCTTTTATTTGACAGCAGGCTTTTCACCCCACCTCCAAGTGTGTTTGACACTTGTTTAAAGCTTTCAGAACCCACCCAATTGCACAGATGCAGTAGACTCACTGAAAAGAGGAGGTTGAGGAAGAGAGGTAGCATTTTTGACACAATGCGTTGGTCAGTCTGATCGCAGCCTAAGTGTTCCAATGGGGGAAGCTCTTAATCAACATGATGATAGAGTTACCTAGCCAGTCTTTCCAGCTTTTTCTTCCCCTTCCTTCCACCCTTGTTTTCCATGCTGTTTTGATGTGAACTTTGTGTATTTGTGCAGTGTTTGCCAGGCCGTCCAAGTATTAACCCTTTCTTTCAATATGGCAGAAAAAGCTACATAGTGTTAGTGCGCATACTGGCGCTTGTGGAAGATGTGCTGTATGTATTGGCTAATGAAGAGTAGAAGCTGGAAGAGTTTGAACTACAACTGGTATTGTAAGAGTTCTTCTTAGTAGAGTCCAGGAGAACTAGTCAAAAGTTAGGTCAAGGTTCTGTAACCTTTTCTGGCCTGTATAGAAGATGCATTACTTTTAATGCCGTCTTGCATGTTAATGAAATACAAAAAAACATGACTGCATGGGTGGATAGGTTTCACAGCAGTGTCAAATTTTGGAATGGAGCCTTATACTTAATGGCTCTTCATATCTTAAAGAGCTCATAGTACCTTATTGTCACTAGAACACTGTGCTCCCAGAATGCACGTTTAGTCGAATCAGGTCTCAATTTGGGTTCAGGATGCAGACACCATCTCTCCATATTTAAGAGAAGGCTTAAAACTTTCCCTCTTTCCTCTCCTCAGGTGAGTCCTGAGCCATCACATGCTATCATTATTAGTACTTTGTTTTATTCACTTTCATTGATGTCTGTTGAATGACAACCTTTACTGTTTTGCTTTTCTGTCTGAATTAAATTGAAGGTATATGTCAAGCAACTTACTGTAATTGGCTGTTGTACGTATTGTAACAGATACAATTCAGCAGCTCTTACTGCAAGGTTAGGGTAGATCATCTTTGTTTAGTGGTTAGACTAATACATTTACACAAGACTTCAATGTCAGCAGAACATTTTGTCACATGAACTGTCAGTAAAATAGAAAAAATGTCCATCATCAAAATACTGAAACCGTAACATCAATTTCCTGCTCTCCTCAGAAACAACCAATCCAACAGTGAGAATTTCACTGAAAAGGCTTGTCAAAAAATCCTTCCATGTAACTACGCTTCCAGCAAACAGCCAGGAATAGTGAGTCTTATTCTCCACCTACAATAATCTGGTTTCAACACAATCCTGTTTACTGTCCGTAAACGCACAGCTGTCAAAGAATCTGCTACTCTGAGCAGATGCAGGACCATGATTCCAAGCTGCTGCTGACCCTGTTGGCACAAACAGGACTCCATTACCCAGTCATAAAGTCATCACCCAGCACTGCTAACACACACAAACAAGTTAGTTAACATCAGAGGCGGTACTTTGACGCACAATAAATTTTTTCTTAAGGCAGACAAAGGCAGGAACACACACCCAGCAATGCAAGATGAAATAACTGCTGCAACAATATCCAACAACCATCATGATGACTGACACATGATTAGCTCATTTATCCGCTGGGAGTGTATGCGTCCCATGTGCACACAGACTTGCACACCCATACAGGCATTTATAAGTACGGATACACAGTAGTGTGGCTATTGTATGTTTCCCAAGCCAGAGGCTGGACAGCAAAGACGGCAAGTGAGCTCTCAGATCTCTCAAGAGCCCAGGCCCAGAATTTAAACACTATCCCAGGACTGCTTGTGTACTCTGTGTGTGAGGGAGACAGAGAGTGACTGCTTGGATGTTAGCGAAAGTGCGTTCCTCCCTCCAGTCCCAGTGAATGTTTACTGGGGAAGATAAAATAGGTGCCACAGAAAAAAAGTTTTCCCTGATTCATTTTTCCATCCTGATGGTTAACGTCTCCATCAACATTTCAAAGGTCTTCCTGCTGCGAGCACGGCTACCATTACCAATCAAGAGTACAGGCATTAAGATTAATACAAACATTTCACCCGACAATAATTTACTTTCAGGCGGCTGCATCATCGATTTCAGCATTATCAGAGTCCGATCAATCCAATTCAAAGCTCTATCCCGAAAAATGGGCCTCTGG